ATATATCACATAAATCATCTGGACAAGAGAGTGTGCATATTCACAGTTTGTTGTGCTACAGCAGAATATGTTTCGTGCCCGCATTGTTTGTTCATACAAAACGCAAAACTATGAGTATGGGACTTACCTTATAAATGACCTGCACAGCCACTTCGTTTCCGACCAGTTCCGTGTTTTAAGTCCAGATAATAGTTTGAGCGTAGATATGTAATCCTCCATTTGGAAATGAGTCCAATGAGTTTAAAAAAAGTAAAACAAAACGCGTGACTCCTCCATAAACTCTCTGTTTTGCTGCAGCCGGTGCATCCAGTTTCTAAAATCAACCGTCTTACACTTCACCTCTCTTTACTTATCATTCCTATAGTCATTGAAAAAATTACCCTAAATGCATTTTAAATATCTTAAAATGTGTTATATGTATGTTAGCCAACCCTGTTGCTGCCCTTAGCAGATAAACCAGGAAGAGAAAGGAGCTTTTCGATGGAATTGTATGCAGCCGACTTCTGCGCTCACATGCGCTTAGCCGGTTGAGCGCGATTAAGACCCATATTTGTTTCAAAAACCCAATTTATGAGCCATCCTCTCAACTGTAGACATGTAGATTGTAAAGGAAATATGTTTTACATCAGCCAATAATTGCTGAGAGGTTTTCTCATCCTCCCTTCTCTCATGACAACACGCGCACGAGTCCTATCGAGAAGTTAATTGTGCGTCTTGAGTAACGCGCAGTAACGGGATGTCGGAAATGATAACGGCTTTATAGTTACAGTCAAAGTAACTAGTTTGATTACTCGTTACTGAAAAAAGTAACGGTGTTAGTAACGTTAGTAACGCCGTTACTAGTAAGGCCGTTACCCGTAACGCCGTTATTCCCATCACTGAGAATCAAAAAGTTCAAACTCAAGAAATGCATTGAAATTAAACAAAACATTTATCTATTGGTCCATAACGGGTAGAGACCAATGTCCATAAATGTTGTTTATTGTCGAGTGTCAAAATCTCAATGCAAACAATAATCTATTTTCCTATACCACTGAGCCATAATGAAAAACCAAAAGAGGTTAATATTGTCGTCTGAGCCTTGGAGTTTGCAGAGCTGGTGCTGGCCCTTCTCAGGATGCTCCTCTGACAAGTTTCCACCCCTGGAGTAGTGTCATATGAGCTTTACAGGGGCCTCTCTGATCTGTCTGTACCACTAACTCTATTTCATAATCCTGCTGTGTGCAAGACCAGTGAGCTATAGAGTCTGCTTTAGAGTTTGCTATCAAGTGTTATTGAAGAAAATGGCTTTAATATGGATACTGCTGCTCTCCTCTTGTGGACGGGTCTCTGATGGTAAGTGTAAACATCATAGACAGTAATATACAGGTGGATAACACTAACCAGGAGAAATGTATTGGAAAATTAATATTCAAAAGTGGCAAAAAACAAATATTTAAAAGGCTTACACTTTACGCTTTAACAAGTATCTTGACCAAATTCTTTCAAACTTATTGCCAGTGACAAAACAGTTCAAAGATTACAGCTAGAGGTAGAACATTGTTGCAATTTTTTTTGCAAATGAACTTATCACAACAATGTCTCGCTATGTTGTTCTTACTCCTTTTCAAACTTTTTTCAATAACTAGGGCAAAGAGAAAGTCAAGTTTACTCTAATTGTCAAATGATGATGTTTGAAGGTCAAATCTCAAAATGATGTTGCTTTATTATTGGAATATAGCTAATAATGTGTGCAACTGTGTTTCTCCAAAGAATTTATTTCAAACCATCTGTTTTGACATGATACAAAAGCTAGGATTTTTTGCAAAGCATTCCCAATTTAAGGTACATTAAAAAAAAAAAGACCGGGCGTCAAATGTAAACAAAAAGTAATTTAAAAAAACATATATAACAATTACATATATTCGCTTCTCTACTTATGCAATTCCATAATTCTTCTCGGTTTGGAGGAGTTATTTGTGTCACTTCAAGCGTTGATTTTGAAAAGTAAAACAGGGCAAAGCTCTTATATTCCTATCCTTCTTGCGCTTTGAACCAGAATCATGTGCAAAGCTGTGCATGTTTCCATTGTTCATTTCTTAACATGAGAGAAAATTCAGGGTTAAAAATAGACTGGGGGTCAAATGTAATATATCTTAGTATTGTCAAAAATGCTGTGCAAAATATTCTAGCTGTTCCAATAATCCAGAGACTGCAGCGGATTTCTCTACTCTGTGACATCACTTGGTCTAGCTTTTGTATCATGGCAAAAGAAATGAATTTATGCAGTTCATGAGTTTAAAAAAAAAAGTTTATTTGGTGTTAATGTTTCTTCAAAGTGATTGTCTGGAGTTTGTCAGAATAAAGAGAGCGAGGTACATGATTTGAAAAAAAACGACCCAAGCTCCCTCCCCCTTCCTTTCTGATTGGTCTTTGCCTAGATATATCTCAACACATTTAAATGTTAATCGGAGAACACATTAAACATATACATTATTAACCCTTTAAGGATCACCTAATTTCGCCTGCTCCTTCTCGAATTATGATACCCAAATGGAAATGCTTATTGTGTGGACATCTTGTGTCTGATTTTGTTGCCTCATTTGAAAGGTAACACCTTCTAGTTTCTGAAAATGTATGTTACAGTTTGTTAGGAAGGACACAGTCTGCACTACAGCTTCTCAAACATGAGTCAAAGTTAGTTTTTTTTGTCTCAAAAAAAAAAAGGCAATTTCAAAAGGTTCTCCTGAAGACATACTTTATGGTATGTTGTTCAAACTCACCAGAGCAGATGTTCGTGGTGTTGGAAACACCTGTATGAAATTTTAGACCTTTAGGTGGAACTATTTTGATGCTGGGGGCTTTTTTGTAACTAATGGGCACATTTGGCACAAGTGGTCCATTTTTGTGCCAACTGTGCAAAAGTGTTTTACATGCAAATTATCAATGTTTTTACACCAAAAATCCATTTATATATTTTTTTGGCTATTACTCTTGCTATAAATAGCATTTTTTCCAGATATTGAAATGTTTGCAGAAAAGCTATTATTTATATAGTTTTTTTTTTTTTTTTTTTTTTTTCCTTTATTGAACAAATTAAACAGGCTTAAATATTTAGTACAATCTCAGTTTCGTGCCGTATAAAAACAAAAAAACAAAAACAAAAGAACAAATTAAGAACGTAGAAAGCCACATTACTGAGTCACAAGGGTCAGAGGTAAATTCACAATATTTTTGTACAACCGAATTGCTTTCGTTGAATTACAAAGCTTCAAAGAGTCCCTAACGATTGACAGTTCGCTCAGAAATATCCTAAACAAGGATTTGGAATTACTAAATTTACATTTGTGAATAAAAAATACAGCCATGAGAATAAAATTGTTAATTGTAAATTCTTTGTTTTTGTCTTCCAGTAGGACTCCAAATTTTATGTCATGATAATTAAAGTCCATAATACCTAAAGTATTGCCAACAGACCAGGCACAGAAACTATCCCAAAATATTTTTGAATGCACACATGTGAAAAAAAGATGTTCTTCTGTTTCAATATTGGTATCGCAAAAAACACACAAATTATCGTCAGTATTGAATTTGGAGTGTAAAAATTCTTTGCACGGGTATACATTGTTCAGTAATTTAAATCTAACTTCTTTAGCTTTAGGTAGAACAGGGAATTTAATGTAACTGCATCTGAAAATCTTGACATTGTGTTTAGGGACATCCTTCATAATATATTGTCTTCTTAACGGCAAAGGGAAGTATTTATTGGACAATGCTGCTCTTAGAAATTTGTTGTTACATTTTTTGTCCGTGAAATTACAATTTAGCACGAGTAAAGGATACATTACATTATTATTTATATAGTTATAGCGCGTGTTCTCCGTGAAAAAGGCTCGTCTTCCTCTTTACGCATTCAAATATGACGGGAACAGTGGGAGGAAGCTAGAAGTCCGACACATCGCCTGAAACCTGAGATTATTGGCTACAAGATAATTTGATTGACATCCAAATCGGCCAATGGTAGTCAAGACAATGCTGTCGTGACGCACAGATAAAGTGAATGGAGCGCTAAATCTAGGTGCGCTTGTTTTACTCAACTTACTCTACCTTCCAAACCATAGCACTGAAAAGTCCGGGAATGGGCTTGTTTTGAAGGGAAGACTGAGAGGAAGACGAACATACCCAGTGACGCTAGCTAAACAGTAAAATGTCCTCTTCATACAGTGCGCAAAGAACAGGTTTTGTTTTTGTTTGTGCAACTTTCAATACCCTAATATGTTGTTGCAAGTGGATATCTACTATAAGGATGACTTTGAAGAAAAAACAACTGGATATAATTATTCTCTAGACCCTAACGAACAAAACAAACATCCACATGTGTGGATTAGACGTGATTTGCCCCAGAATATTAGCATGACAAGGTAAGAAACGACAATATATATTTTAAACATATATACAGTTTGACTACTTATTCTTACTTTTGGTTATATTTAATGTTTTTTTGAACATAATACGTGTATAGAGGTGGGAATAAGCTTTCAAAAGAGATATAGCTTGACTATATTGACACAAGTGAATTCTAATACTGATGCTGTTAAATGAAAAATAACTGAATCCTCCCTGTACAGGGAGGGTGATCCTTAAATACACATGCATGGAGGTTGACAGAATTATTTGTTATTAATAAAATGACTTATTTTATATCAACATTTAAGGCCAGGAGGTCAATTAATACAATTCTTAAAATGTTTAATTCATTTAGAGTTCCAGACTATCACTTTAAACTTTCACTAGGTACTTGTTATTCAAGGAAGTACTCCTAATTAAGAATATTAATCAGATTAGATAAATAAATAAATAATATAAATGTTTTTCCTCTGGCTGTAATCTTCAAACTGTTTTGTCATTGGCAATAAGTTTAAACTTTTTTCTCAGGTTCAGATAATCCCTCCATAAACATGTCCGTGGCCTATGGGAGCACGGCAGTTCTTCCCTGTATGACCTTTGTGAAACAAGGTGACATGGAAGTGGCCTGGACGGTGGAGGATGACCTGCTGGTGAAGAGCCCTTACCAGAATGGATTAGTAGCACTACACAACGCATACGAGGTCAGGGCTTAATATTTTTTGATTACATGATGAAATGTCATTGTGCAATTGTACAGTTTTACAACTCGCCGTGACGGTACATGTCCCAGTTGCTGATTTCATCAGGCAATTGCATTGGGCACAAAGTCATGGCCCAATAGCAAGACTACAACAAGTCTTGCTTGTTATAGCTTTTTTACAACATCTAAAATGTTTCTTACGGCTAAACTCATCCAGGCCAACATCGTACAAGAATTGTCTCTACTTATGGACCTGTTGTTGTTCCTGAAAATCAGTTTCTATCCATTCATCCATCCATTTTCTACCCTTTAATCCATTTCTGGGTCAGGGGGGTGGCAGACAGAGATGCCACCCAAGTCTCATAGCACCAGCTCAGTTTCTATCCTACAAAAAAAATGGGGCTGTACTATAATTTGCCGCTAAAAATCTTTCAAAAATGTCAAACATAATTGCTAACACCGCCTCAATTCTTCAAGCCGAGAAGAGACGTGAACAGACACGTGACAGAAATTAACACAGAAGTAGAAAAGGTGGCAATTGTAATATCAGTCGGTGAGATGCAGATTCTTACAGAATCAGTAATATTATTGTACGTCTGTGTTTGGATTTGTAACAGAATTTTTACACAACAAATTACAGAAAAGGTACATTCAATTATCACTATCACCAAAGGTCCACACAGGCTTTTGAGGTGACTTGCACTGTATGTTGTTGCGTATGTTGGGTTGTGTGTTTATGGTGTTGTGTAATCAGGGCCGCGTGCAGATCGCTGCAGACATGTCTCTGAAACTGCACAGCGCTCGCCTCAGTGACAGCGGTGTGTACTACTGTATTTTGGATAGGCTGAAGATTGAGGCCGCTGTTCACCTCATCGTGGAACGTAAGAACCTCACATAACATAAAACTCCTTATCTGCGTTCATGTCGTTGACACGTCAGCACGCCGTTGATACACCGTGCAAAGAATACAGGGTAAAGACATACATCCACAAGCACCGTGTCCCCTATTGTCAGTCTTGGTTTAGTCCTGCTTTAGTCCTTGTTTTGACCGTTTTTGAGTGTCTTTGTCTTCCTTCTCTGAGCGGATTTTGTCCCTTTGCCTACTTTGCTGCTCTCTGATTGGTTGCTGCAGGTGCATCGAGCAAAGGTTGAGCAACATTCACTCCTGTTTTTGGCGGATGCGTCTAGATAGACTCTAGTTGCTGTATACCCACCACTGCCGCACCGCAAAAACTTGCGTGCTGCGACGTACCTCAACATTTTACTTTGAATTGAAACTCCAGTGTGAATGTTTATGACAACTCCCTCTTCATTCATTGCTGGGTTCAGGGACAGCAGTCTGAGCCCGGACTCCCATCCAGTGTGAGGGATAGAGCTAGAATTGTGCCCGACTCGATCCACACCCAAACCCGAACATGACAAGGACAACGTTTTTTTCAAGTTCAAACAGACTAGATCTGCATCAGCAAAGTGCTGCTGAGACATTGAGGGATCCTGGGGGAGAAGCTACTGATGTTGTGGCCCTTGTCTCCCAGCTGAGAGGAGCGTGCGATTTGAACATAGACTCTAGACCAGGGGTGCTCAATACGTCGATCGCGATCTACCAGTCGATCGCAAAGGTAGTATTGGTAGATCGCATTAAATAAATAAAAAATTACACATTCTAAACTATCCATCCATCCATCCATCCATTTTCTTCCCTTTAATCCATTTCTGGGTCAGGGGGGTGGCAGTCAGTGATGCCACCCAAGTCTCATAGCACCAGCCCCTCACTGACCCTCTGCAGGTGGTGAGTCCACAGGAGGCTGCTCTCTGAGTGTGAGCATAGCCTTGATCTTTCAGTGGGGGCTTTTGGGCAAAGTGGGGTTAAGTGTCTTGCCCAAGGACACAACGACAGCAGTCATCAGTGGGAGTCGGTGGAGAAGGTGTACATTCTAAACTAATATATACAAAAAACTTTTGAAAACTCCGTTAATGCATTTGTGTGTAGACAGAGATAACCAGAGTTTTGCGTTCTCGCACGCCACAGTACCCCCCTAAATTCCTCTGATCACTGAAGCATGGATCATACTACCTTAAAAACTGTTCGCTGTGAGATGCTCGCAGCAGCAAACATCCTCCACATCAGAGAGCAGCAAAGTGATCGCGGGGACTCACGCTCGAAAACAACCAAACCAGGACTAAACCAGGACTAAACCAGGACTAAAACGGGACTAAACCAGGACTAAACCAGGGCTGAGGACGGGGTCAGTGCTTGTAAACATACGTCTTTACTCTGAGTGTCTTCTATGACTGTAAAAGTGCCGTTACCGGCGTCTGCATCAAAGCTCCGCCCACTTCTGTGTTTTTCCCCAACGCAGGACAGGACGTAAGAGACGCACATGTTTGGAATGTTACGAATGTGACTGATAACGCAGATGTGTGGATGCAAATTATTTTATAAACTGAGGAGGGAAAATATTTAGATTTTAAAAAAACAGGCATGGCACATGGACATGGCACCACAGTCAAATGACATCTGTGTTTTACTCAGTAATGTTTTACTGACACTTAGGTGACTGCACATGCGCAAACAACCGCGCTCAGTGCAGGAAAGCAAAACCACGACAAACTTGTCAGCGAGTTACCACCAATTTTCCGGACTATGCATCCCTGGCCGATTCAATTCAGTGCAAGTCATCAGAGTAAACTCGGGTAATGACAACAAATGTACATAGGTAATTGTGTTGTGCTATATTGGCTCATGCGGTTTTGCATGTACATAAACATACATTGTAGATATAAAGAATATTTTTTGAAATAAATATATGATTTGCATTTTTGTAGTAGGTAGATCATTTTGACTTGATCCTTTTATAAGTAGCTCGCATGCTGAAAAAGTGTGAGCACCCCTGCTCTAGACTTTTGTTAGCATTAATCCAACTTTTACATTGTCATAGATGTATGTACATACAATTCTATGTACATTTAAAATGATTGGAAGAAGCGCTGCTTTGATAGAGAGATGGAGATGATGGTGATGTAACTTTGTGCAAAGCAGACTTGTTTCAAGCTTTTACCGCCTCGGCCCAAGCCCGAGTGTGACAAAGGGTGGTATGAGGTTATTGAAATAAAGGGGATGTGGAGTTTAAAACCATGAATATTAAAATTTTATGACCCAAAAATGGAGGCGAGAGCTCGTAATTGTATTAAAGGAAACAGGTGGTGTTTTGTATAAAAACAATGGGCCTCATTCACGAATAACTTCGTAAGAAACTACTCAACTTTCTTCTCAAGTTGTCCTTAAGTAGATTTCTAAGAAGTCCCCACGTGGGATTCATCAACGCACTCGTAAGCCGCTGAATTGTTCGCAGCTGTTCTCTCAGATTGATGAATCCCATTTCCTCATAAGTACAGCGCGCGTGCCAGGTGCTTCATTACCATAGGTACTTAGCATAAGTAACCGCCCACTAATGCCCATATAAGGGACTGCAGGGCCGTGTGCAGACGCCAGAGGAAACAGCAACAGGCCTAAAGCAGGCTTTTGCCAGACTGAGAATAAAGTTATAAAATGTTGACTTAAAAGTCGAAATATTATGATTATAAAGTCGAACTAGCAAAATTATGAGATTAATCTAAGAATATGATGAGATTAATCTCAAAATGTTATGAGCTTAATTTAAAAATATATTATGTATTATTTTAAAGATGAATCTCAAAATGTTTTGAGATTAATCTCAAAATATTTTGGACCCTGGGAGGAGATCCAGCGCGGACCAGCGCTGAGACCAATGCAGACCCGAGGAGAGACTGGAGTGACCAGCACACAGAAACCAGCGCGGACAGGAGAGACCGCATAGACTGGAGACACCTGACTGGAGAGACCGGTGCGCAGAGACCAGCGCGGACCGAAGAGAGACCGCATAGACCAGACTTGAGAGACCAGCGCGGACCCGTATGGATCCATGGGAGAGACCAGTGCAGACCCGTATAGATCCATGGGAGAGACCAGCGCAGACCCGTATAGATCCATGGGAGAGACCAGTGCAGACCCGTATAGATCCATAGGAGAGACCAGCGCAGAGACTCAGCGCGGACCCAGTAACCTCCTGCAGCAGCAGTAAATATGCCATTGTTCTGTGGCCCGTGGATAAAGAAATGCCCCCTATAAATAGGAAGGGGTCACTAATACACGGCAAGATTTCCAATGTATTTGATAAAGCGTTGGCACATTTCATTTCAAAATGAATTAAAAAGTAGGCCAGATCTGCAGTGAAAAAGGCGGTATATAAATAAAGATTACTAATAAAGATTACTACAAATAAATAAATACATACATCGATATGGCGGACATATCACTGGAATGTTGTATTTTTATTCAACTTCACCAAAGAGGACAACCCCGGCGTGTGAACATGTCGGCACTGAATGCGTACGAGTGCTCCTGAGGACTCGTAGGATTTGTACTTGCCCAAGTGAAATTCTGGTTACGAGAAATATTCGTGAATGCCACTTTCTTCGTAAAAACCGCGTAAGTAGGATTTACGTACAAATCTGTTCCTAAGAACCGTTCGTGAATGAGGCCCAATATTTTTGTTTTACAAAAATAAAAGGTCAAAACTAAAAATCCCCGTTTAAAAAAAGGGTTGATAAAAATGATCCAAGCAAGTTGTTGGTCAGCCCTGGTTCCCCAGCGTTCCCCTGAATCCTGCAGGAAAAAGCGGAGCAGCGGCAGGAAGAAGCCAAGCACCACCCAAAACACGAGCACCGCTGCTTTCACACGCTTACCGAGGCCGACTTTTTACACCCGGCCGCCGTCTAACGAGTCCCCCCGCCCTATGCTACTACACGAACGCCACTACTCAATGCATTCTGGTACTTACCTACGAAGGCAGAGCGTCCTCTGCCTCCTGCGGTAGTTCAGCTCAGCCTTGTGGTGTTCTCTATTGACTCGTGCGGCGATGGCTGTGGGCCAGGTCCAGATCGTGTATCCGATGCTGTGCTGTCTGAGTGCAGGCATTGTTAAATAGTCACTTGTGGCCCAGGGCATCAAGGCATCATATTAAAATCAAATAAAAACACTCACATGATAAAAAGCAAATAAAACCATGTAAACAAGTAAACCCATGCAAAAAAGTCCACACTTTGAATACAATAAAGAATGTGCCTGATTAGACGAGTAGTGATAGGAATTGAGCCAGACCTGGTCCGAGCCCCACCGGGACCAGTCAGACCCAGTCGAGCTCGAGTCAAGAGATTCAGCTCTTGTGAGAGATACCCACACACACTCACTCTGAACCTAAAAGCACTTTGAAACAGCTCCTCGGGTGGACTCCGTGGTGGAGGTCTATTCCCATAACACCTCAGTGACTCTCCCCTGTTACCTACACCTGTCCAGAGACCAGCGTTTGGAGGAGCTCACCGTGTGGTGGGAGACAGACGGAGAAGTTCTGTTTGGAAGGACTGACATACAGGTGAATGAAAGATTTGGTATTTTATTCAACTTTTATTCTTCACTTTTCTGTGGATTTGTACATATTTTAGTTGTTCATATTATACATTTCTTGTAGGTGTACAATCCCTATGACAGCCCCTATGTCCTGAACTTCAATTATTCTGATGAAAGAAACATTGACAAGTTTCCTCATTTCTTGCCACCATCTTTGAGCTCTGGAAAATACAACTGCTGGTACCGCATCAAGTATGAGCTTGTTCACTGATTGTTTTAATAAATAAAAACAGACAAAAACAAAATCTATTTACTTAATTCCAGCCTGACAGATAAATTGAAGCCTGGGATACCGGGAACTATTGCCGTCGCATTCAAGTCTTTTAATGACACAGGTAAAAACTCTATATTCTCTAGAATTAACATTTCTAACATCCCCAATGTAAGGTAAGTTGTTTTCACTTCTTTAGTATGATAAAGGAACTGCCTGATTTTGTTCCATCTATTTCATTTTTTCTTTTTTAATGTTAATGATCGTACTAAATTTTTAACCTGATTCTCCGGTGCACTGCTATTAAGTCTACCTCAAAACACTTGCTAATACAGCTAACTCTTGCTAATATAACTCAGGTTAAGTCTTGCTAATGCGGACAACTCAAGCTCGGCCGCATTTTGACCAATCTGCGGCTACTGATCAGAGCAAAACGGGAGCCAAACAAGCAAGTTTGTTGCATAAAAGTGCTGATTGAAAAACCCGAAAGACTTGACAAGAAAAAAGTTCAGGACGACAAGGAACAATACGATCCCCACAAAATCGGACCTTTATGAAAACTGGAGGTTCTCTGTCAGATTCTGTCAACTGAGGTCGAGCTGTTTTAGTTTACATTGAGTTCTATGGGACATTTTTCGCCCCCCGAGCCCGTTGGTGGGACAGCTATAATAGTACCCTATCCAGATATTATTATACATCCATGACTCAAACTAACTCTTGCTACTATGATAACTAGCTTAAGCAAACTCTTGTTAATGTCACCAGGGGGCTCAATGCCTCAACTAGATTTTAAAAAAAAAAAAGGTCCAAGGGGAGTAACTCTTAAAACAACAAAACACCAGTGGTTTAAAGTTAACACAATTTGTTACAATATAACATGTTTGAAATGTAAATTAAAGGCTCCATTAAAAGTCCAGACATAGGTTCCGCTAAAAAATAAATAGTCCAATCGTGGCTGGTGCTGAAGGTGGTGATCAGCTTGTGGCCTATGGAGAGTTATTCATATTTTCTTTTGTTATTATTACTTTTTTGCTATATCTGATCTTACGAATTGAGCTCTTAGGGGGAGTTTCCTGTTTTCTTTTCTTGTTTAGTTTTTTACTATGTTTATCTCATTGCCTGCAGTTTGTGAGTGTGTGTGTGTGGATGTTTCTGTGTGTGTGGATAAGAGATTGTTTATTGCCGTGGGCGGCACGGTGGCTAAGTGGATAGCACTCTTGCCTCTCAGCAAGAAGGTCCTGGGTTCGAATCCCGGCCGGACCAGGGCCTTTCTGAGTGGAGTTTGCATGTTCTCCCCGTGTCTGCGTAGGTTTCCTCCGGGTACTCCGGTTTCCCCTACCACTAAAAATATGTACAATAGGTCTGGCATGCGCCTCCTGTTCGGCGACCCCGCTCCCATCTCTGTGTGGAGTGAGAGGACAAGTGCCCAAAAAATAGCAATTGTAAACCGCTTTGTGACCTTTGTCTGTGAAAGGCGTTATATAAATATAAGCTTACTTACTTATGTGTTTGCTTGAATGTTCCAGTTGCTTGTGTTTGTTTGTGTTATGTGTCTGTGGCCCACAGTCCTTGACCAGATACTGTACTCTCTTCTCTTGTTCATGTTTTTCTAGATGCACAGTTCTGATGAGGAAGTCTCCTCGGATTTTGAGAAGGATGATGATTTGAGTGTAAATATTCACAACTTGGAAATTATTTCTCTGTCCATATTACTAATCGCAAATCACAGAGTTATATGAATGTAATTGATCTGGATAGCCATATGCTTCAACTTACTGTTTGCTTTTATTACACTGATGCTAAATTTAACAAAGAACTCACACTACAACAAACTGTCTTTTGTACATTTTAACACCAGGAGTTTATTTTCAAATGCTGAGTGCATCCAGGACTATTTAAAGCATTTAAAATCCCCTCTTAACATAATATCTTTCTCTGAGACATGGATTAATAATTATATTGATTACGTCTTTGAAATGAATGGATATGAAATGTTTTGCACTAATAGACATCATACGCGTGGAGGGGGTGTAGCCTTGTATGTGGATGAAAATATAAATTGTTCAATTATTGAAAATATGTCATTAGCCATTGAGGAACTCTTTGAATGTGTGACGGTGGAACTGGCAATCCCAAAACAAAGATCAATTATTGTAAATCCACACTTTACAATCAGAGCAGCAGCAGAGTGGAGTCAGAGCGGGAAGGAAAGGAGCAGAGTTTGTGGCAGTAAAGTGTGGATTTAAAGAAAAAAGATGGATTTAAGAAGAACAAAAATTCAGGATGACAAGGGACACTAAAATCCCCACAAAATCCGACCTTAATGAAAGCTGTAGGTTCTCGATGTCGGCGATGATAACGGCGTTATAGTTACAGTCAAAGTAATTAGTTAGATTACTCGTTACTGAAAAAGTAACGGTGTTAGTAACACCGTATTCCCATCACTGTTTATGACTCTGTGTAAGCCTCTGCCATACACTATGCTGCCGTGTGCTGGGCCCCGGGCAGCACAGAGCGGGACAGGAGTAGACTGAACAAGCTGGTCAGGAGGGCCAGCTCCACTCTGGGCTGATCCCTGGAGGAGGTGAGGGACAGGAGGGTACTAGTCAAAGTCACCTCCATCATGGACAACACCCACTGTAGAGGACTGTAGAGGAGCTGAGGAGCTCCTTCAGTGGAAGACTAAGACACCCTCAGTGAAAGAAGGAGCGCTACCGCAGGGCCTTTATCCCCACCGGTGTCAGACTGTACAATAAGTCACTTTAAGTCACTTGAATTAGGACTGAAAAAACCTGCACTACTTATTGAGACTGTTTCTTTGATTGGCTTTTTCAACTCACACCTCCGGGAGAGCTTCTCCCAGGTCCCGGCGGAGGAGGGGGATATTGAGTCTGAGTGGACCATGTTCTCTTCCTCTATCGCCGATGCGGCGGCTCGTAGCTGTGGTCGCAAGGTCTCTGGTGCTGGTCCCGGCGGCAACCCCCGAACCCGGTGGTGGACACCGGCAGTAAGGGATGCCGTCAGGCTGAAGGAGGAGTCCTATCGAGCCATGATGGTTCGGGGGACTCCTGAGGCAGCTGTCCAGTACCGGCAGGCCAAGCGTGCCGCGGCCCGGGCTGTTGCAGAGGCAAAAACCCGGGACTGGGAGGAGTTCGGAGAGTCCATGGAGCATGACTATCGGTCGGCCTCGAAGAGATTCTGGCAAACTGTCCGGCGCCTCAGGAGGGGGAAGCAGTTCTTTGCCAACACCGTGTACGGTGCGGGGGGTGAGCTGCTGACCTCGACCGGGGATATTGTCGGACGGTGGAAGGAATACTTCAAGGTTCTCCTCAATCCCCCCATCACGTCCTCCGCTCCGGAGGCAGAGGCTGAGGATGTTGGGGCGGATACTTCTGTCACCCTGGCAGAGGTCACCAAGGTGGTTGGCAGCCTCCTTGGTGGCAAGGCGCCGGGTGTGGATGAGATCCGTCCTGACTATCTAAAGTCTCTGGATGTTGTAGGGCTGTCTTGGCTGACACGTCTCTGCAACATCGCGTGGCAATCGGGGGCGGTGCCAATGGAGTGGCAGACCGGGGTGGTGGTCCCTCTCTACAAGAAGGGGGACCGGAGGGTGTGTTCCAATTATCGTGGGATCACACTCCTCAGCCTCCCTGGTAAGGGATACTCCAAGGTACTGGAGAGGAGGTTACGGCCAATGGTCGAATCTCGGATTCAGGAGGAGCAGTGTGGTTTTCGTCCCGGTCGCGGAACACTGGACCAGCTCTATACTCTCCATCGGATACTCGAGGGTTCATGGGAGTTCGCCCAACCTGTCCACATGTGCTTTGTGGATTTGGAGAAGGCGTTCGACCGTGTTCCCCGGGGTGTCCTTTGGGGGGTCCTCCGTGAGTACGGGGTCCGGAGTCCTCTGCTGAGGGCCGTCCGGTCCCTGTATGACCGGAGCCAGAGCTGCGTGCGCATTGCCGGCAGTAAGTCAGACCTGTTACCGGTGCATGCCAACATGCCAGGGCTGCCCTTTGTCACCGGTTCTGTTCACTGTATTTATGGACAGAATTTCTAGGCGCAGCCAAGGGTCGGAGGGGGTCCGGTTCGGGGACCACAGGATTTCATCTCTGCTGTTTTGCAGACGATGTTGTCCTGTTGGCTCCAACGAACCAGGACCTACAACATGCACTGGGACGGTTTGCAGCCGAGTGTGAAGCGGCTGGGATGAGAATCAGCACCTCCAAATCTGAGGCCATGGTGCTCGACCGGAAAAAGGTGTGTTGTATCTTCCTCTCCGCAGAAGATGGGGTTTCCCGCACAAACCAGTATAGTGTTGGAGAAGGAATGCACTCTGAGTTATGTATTAAAGAAAGAGTTTAATGACATAATCAGAATACATCAAGTCCAATTCAGGCTTAGCGCTTTCAGCCTGGGTCAGCTCCGAGAATGAGGATGGCATGACTGACAAAGAACACATTAAGCACAGAGCTCTTTCTTCCCTGAGGATCTCACTACATGTGGTTTTACTGCAAATGGTAAATAAATCGAATCTGTAGACTATTATTGTCCCTCCAGATGTCCTAAGACACAATTATAACCAAACATGCATCCACAAGACATACATGTGCAGTCTAATGGCACAGACGCTGCCGAGATGCAGCTGCGGGTTCTATTGTCTCCAACGTCACATTGGCCTTATGATTTAGATAAGTGACTTACTGCCATTGCGTGCTCACATTATCCCTCCACACAATTTTACACATATGAAGATACATACATACTTTATGTTTATGTAGAATTAAAGAATATTAATAATAGCAGACACAACAGGTGCCTTGCCCTCTCCGGGTGGGTGGAGAGGCCCTTCCTCAAGTGGAGGAGTTCAAGTATCTCGGGGTCTTGTTCACGAGTGAGGGAAGGATGGAGCGTGAGACTGACAGGCGGATCGGTGCAGCGTGCGCAGTGATGCGGTCGCTGTATCAGACCGTTGTGGTAAAGAGGGAGCTGAGCCGAAAGGCAAAGCTCTCAATTTACCGGTCAATCTTCGTTCCCTCCCTCACCTATGGTCATGAGCTTTGGGTAATGACCGAAAGAACAAGATCGCGGATACAAGCGGTCGAAATGAGCTTCCTCCGCAGAGTGGCTGGGCGCTCCCTTAGAGATAGGGTGAGGAGCTCAGTCACACGGGAGGAGCTCGGAGTAGAGCCGCTGCTACTCCACGTCGAGAGGAACCAGTTGAGGTGGCTCGGGCATCTGTTCCGGATGCCTCCTGGACGCCTCCCTGGGGAGGTGTTCCGGGCATGTCCCACCGGGAGGAGGCCCCGGGGAAGACCCAGGACACGCTGGAGGGACTATGTCTCTCAGCTGGCCTGGGAACGCCTTGGAGTCCCCCCGGACGAGCTGGAGGAAGTGTGTGTGGATAGGGAAGTCTGGGCATCTCTGCTTAGACTGCTGCCCCCGCAACCCGGCAACGGATGAAGCGGAACAAAAATGGATGGATGGAGCTAACTTTTTTTATGATCCTTTTTTCCAAGTGAAAAATACATTTAAAAGAAATACAATAATGCAAAAGTTGTTTGTTTTCAGTAAGTATTAGCACAAAGACTCTTTCGATGGAAGCCCAAGAGGAAACGTCCACTTCTTACCCCCATGAAGGTGAGTTAAAGTGCTTCTATAGCATTAACCTCTGATCACTTTGAGGTTTTTATATTGTCTTCATTCTATAGATGTGGATGAAGAAGAGGAGGACTCAGTGGACTGGTCAGACTTCCCATGGGTGCGGATTGGACTCATCGCTGCGGTTTTATCAGCGACAGCGTTGGTTCTGTGCATTCTTGGACTTTCACGTAAACTTTGACACAAGCATCATATAATTTTTTTGGGACATACTGTATATACAAACTTATTTGTGATTAGAACAGGAGCCTCAAAAACAGAATAAACGTCAAAGACCTGATGTTGTTTTTTTAGCTTTACCTTCATAATGAAGCAAAAGAATTTAAACAATGAGCATCTTGTAGTCCCCCAACTATTTCTACTACTACTACCGCTGCGAGTGTTTCACCTGTGTTACACCTGTGTTTTTACAGCTCCTTGCGAATCCATCTCAACGTGGGCCTCCCTGAGGTTTTTACTTTTTCCTACTTGTTTCTTTTTTATTAGAGATGTTCCTTGCCGATGCAGGATACTCAAAGGACAGTAGTGATGATCCAGGACACACAACATTAAACAACATTCATGGACATTGGTCTCTGTCCTTTATAGACCAATAGCTGTTTTAACTGTTTGATTCTCTGATCTGTGCTGGCAAAATCAACGGCTTTGACATATTTGGTGAACAATATTCCCTTGATGGGAAGTTAACAGCTGAGCAGAAATGTAACATCTTCCAAGGACATGGTATTGCTACTTTGTAGAACGGGGACAATAGTTAAGCAGAAATGACTCAGTGTGGGAAGCTGCCCACCTTTGGCAGTGAAGAACAGAAGCACAGCTACTGATGAAGATTCGGGGAAGGCCCGCCCCAGGGGCCAGCACCTATATCTGTAGTGCACACTTTGTATTAGCAGCTAAGACGGAGGAAGACTACTCGGTTGAACTCTGTATTAGCCCCGTGGCCACGCAACTTTATATGTGATCTACAATAAATGCCTGCTGGCGCATTAACATTTATCTTGCTTTGGATAATTTTACAGTGCTTCCAACAACGAACCTGGATGAGAGGAGACTAAACAGGGTTAACTTATTTTCCTCGACTGGGGGGAGATGAGTGTTGAGCAGAGTGTGGCCAAGCAGAGGTGCGTTCCTGGGATGGTGCCGTTCCGGATGGGTGGGATAAATATGGGGAGTTTTGGGGTCCATTTTAAGTGATGGCGGCAGGAGTCGGGTGAGGTTGTGGGTGGTGCATGGAGGCAGCATGTCGGGGAAAGACAGACACATCCAGCTCTGTCCTTTGTGGAGAAACAAAATACAGTAAAAATGCAAGAACAGCTTATAGAAGAGTCGTGCAGATAACTTGGGTGCTGCTGTAAGTGGATGCGTGTCTATCACATACATTATAAATTCCTGGTGTATTAATAGCTGCTGTTACACTATCACTGCACATAGCTCACACAGAGTCAGTAAGGTCACACAGTCAATGTATACATCTACATTCCTCTGTAAGAAAACACTGTGTGGGATGTTCTGCTGTTTTACAATTAATCATCAATTTTGCGGACTTGTTTTTCTTAAAAGTAACTCCAATGTAACTTCAACACATGCAATAGAAAACTTTTATCGGAGTATTTTTTAAAGCAAGGCCACGTATGCTATGTTCACTATATTTTTCACTCATAGTAATTGCTTATATTCTGGTGTAAAAATATGGTGTAGACGAGAAATACTTGGACTAGGTTATCTTTAGGTTTATGTTTGAATCTTCATGACAGTGTGACTCTTTTGGTACTGCTATTGTTTGTGGTCTTTCCAGTCTTTCCATTACAAAACTTCAGTTTCTTTAAAAGAGGTATTAGACAGCAGGATGTTGATTTACAACAGTTGCTAGGTTGCTTTAGCATGACTTTTGTCTAAAAAACAAAAAACAAAAATCAAAGTAGTTCCTTTTCTCAAGCATGTTTTAAAAGTGCAGAAGACAACCGTTATGTGTTTTCAAACAAATCCCCTCAACATTTACCTCCGCCCATAGACGGTGAGCGAGGTAATTGTGTCTGAGAACCTCTGAGACACTGCATCTCCTCAGCTGTGGGGAAAGTAGCAGAGACCACTCCCATCCAACTCACCCACTGTTCCTCTACTCCCAGGCTGTCAGGCTGCTCAACAAACACTGCCCCCCTCCTCACTCCCACAGACCCCCATTATACTTCACTTTTACATTCCTGCCATTCCTACTGTGAACTGTTCATGCATTGTTGCAGCTAACATCCTCACTAACATCCTGTACCTGTGTTTCTAATCTACCTCCTATAGCCCTGTGCTGTGTACATCGTGTACCTGTGATACAACATCCTATAGCCCTGTGCTGTGTACATCCTGCCAACTTCTGCACTTTATTCGCTCTATTATCAAAATGATGCTCAAAATGTAATGTTGTTTTTGTGACAATAAATGATTGAATCTTGAATCATTTTAGGAGAGTGTGAGTGTTCATCACACTGCACTGAGTTCAATCATTTCATTGTTTGTTATTTTGTATGCATTTCCCTATGTGTCCAGCAGAGAGCAATCTAGTATACGTTTTGGTTCCAGGACAGAGTATAAGATTTATATTTTAAATCATATGCTGAAAATGATATTCATAAACTTCATTCTAGTCTTAACGACCCCTCCTTTTACAGCTTTAAACTATCCAGACCACCAATAACACGAAATTCAGCCTCTATTGAAAATTTGAGAAATTCATAAAAACAATAACATTGATTTATAATACATATAAATATATAATTGTGAATTAGGAAACCCATTAAATTGTGTTCTATCTTTATGTTTAATTCTAACAATAGCAACAGGGACTGGCCTCTTAAGGTGCCTGGAGTCAGGACCACCCACAGGGAAGTAGCTTTTCAGATTTATGTAGCTAAAATCAGTCTTCCCAAAAATTTGAGATACGCTTCTACTCTGACAATGTTCAAATTTAGATTATAACAGTTCAGTTTATCTGTGCAAACAACTGAAGGATTGTATCTTCGCTCTTTGCACTGTGATTACGTATACTTTTTATGCCTTGTAAGAATTAAATGTTGTGTATGAACTGTGCCACACAAATAAACTTGCCTTGCCTTATGTTTCATGTAACTAAACCTTTAGCCATTGTGTCTCATATTTGGTCAAATTTAAAGCAAAACAAAGAATGAGGAAGGAGTTTTCTGTGTTGAATTGGGATGCAGCCGAAGCTTTAGGCCGCTTTGGTCTCTGCTTCTCTTTGAAGGAGCAAGGTGCAGCACATGGTGATCAGAGCAGCTGCTACATAAGGGGCTACAGGTAAATACTCTGGTCACATGGAGCTGTTTGAATAGGGACATTTTGCACCAGTAAAAGCCAAGACTACATACATTTCCTTTTTTATTATATATACACATATACACAACTGTTATTTTTACATTTATTTTAATACAAGAATTTCGGAACGCACTGGAGTACATAGAGACTTTAATAAAACTGGGGTATAGCTTTTCATGTAGATAATGCATTGTCCATGGAGTTAAATTTCTGTCTTAAAAAGCTGAATTAAAGACAAAAATATTGGTAAAAACTAGTGATAGACATGAGATGGATTTGCATATAGTTAAGTGTATTGTGGTTTTAAAGTTGTGCGCCCCAGCTTTACATTGAAATGAGAAATTGATAACAAAAATATTAGAATTTTGTTAAAACTGGACAGTTAAAATAATTGTTAATTAATCTGTCTGAATGTTTCATGTTTCTGGTTCTGCTCTGTTTTAGTTCTGGTCCTCCCCTTTGCCCCAGTCACTCCTCCTTATTTTTCTTCAGTTATTTTGTTCCTTTTTGAAACGTTTTTTGGGCTCAGACTGAGAATGGAGCCAACGGGTGAAGATCCAGTGATTTTCTGCGTAAAAGTCTATTGTTTACAAGAGGTAAGATGCACGCTGTTTGTTATTCATATAGTAATGTTTGGTCAGCTGTAAGACACCCTGCTTTTGGTTATTGTGTATATAAAGGACATCTATAGGCGACTATTCGGACTATAAGCAGTCAGTAATTGTATTTTTCTTTTACATTGTACCTAACTTTCAAATCACTAACGGTTTTATTCTTTGCAAAAAAATCCACATATTTGAATGTTTGTTTTTCAGCAGATGGAGGACCAGACTGAAGTGAATGTAGTTCAACCATTCAAAATGAGCAGAGTGCACGGCCGCGACTTGTCTCTGTGTTTCAGACCAAGCTCTGGACAGCTCTGTGTAGAAGACGGTGAGAGCTACTGCTTTATGTGAACGGTTTTTCTTTGGGGTTCAAAATAGATTTCATATCTCTTTTGAACATTTCTTTGGAACTGAATGGATAGAAATATTGTTGCAGAGAGCGGATTCATAATGTCAAGGGAAATTTCACCCCTGTTCACAACTGTTGTTGATGTCACAGCTGCCCTGGGACAGACGCATGATCTAATAACACCAGGTCATCAACAGTCAAAGTTCTGTGCCCAGGTTCAGTGTTTTATTGGGTTAGGGTCAGGACTAGGGTTTGTCATAGTCAGGGTTAGGGTAGAGCTAGGTTTAGGTTTAAAAATAAGAATAAGATTATGTTTTTTAGTCCAGGATTACTGTTACTAGTTGATCCTATTCTTAAATCTTGTCCTAATGCTAACCATACTGAAACCTAGCCCTAACTCTTACTCAATGAACCTACTCCCGTCAAGCAACGCCAAACTCATTCTAGCCAATGTGGGTGAAGTGTCTTGCCTTGAGACGCAACACCAGTATGGCAAATTACCCAGAGTTCTCCCATCACAGTACTAACCAGGCCCTGCATTGCTTAGCCTCTGAGGATCAGGTTTACATGCAGAATAATGCAATCACTGGATAGATAGATACTTTATTGATCCCCTGTAGAAGAAATTCAGGTGTCCAGCAGCAAAAAACAATGAACTTTGTTACACTGGCGCAAAATAGAAATAAGACATTTCAATAGAACATTGATAAACTTACACTCCACAATAAAACTGAGGTTCCTAACCTCTTTAATCATAAATAACACCAGGAGTTTGTCCGACAGAAAGCGCCTCATGGAAGTAAAATGTTGATAAATGAGACCACATCATGCCGTCTTCAACGTATTAGAAACATGTTTTCTCGTGAGTCACTATTTGACTCTTTTGGTCTGAGAGCTGATTGGCTGAGTGAGGGTGGTCCTCTCTTTTACACTTTTCTCTCTGAAGAAGATGAAATGAAAATGTGACAGAGGCCAAAAACATAAGAAAACTAGTGGTAGAGGTCAGGTACCCCAGCTTTAATGCTATCAACATATTCTTCAGAAAACCAAATCCCGCTCTTGCTGCTGCCCTTCTCCGAGGCCGTGGACTTCTGTCAGGTCGCCGCTCAGTCCTTCATCGTCACTTTGGAAGAAAACAGCTTCATTTTCCAGTTTAAAACCAGCTCAGGTCTGTATCCTGTCATTCTAAAATGTATTTCTGCACAACAGTACACAACACCATGTGCACTGTATTGTGTATTGTATATAGTAATTGTAACTCTATTTTAATTTTAATTTTATATTTATTCCTTAGAAGTGTTTTTTATTCTCTCATTCTGACTTTTGCACCGAGCCAAAGCAATTTCCAAGTCTGTGACCTCTTGTTACTTGCGTGGCAATAAAAATGATTCTGATTCTGAACAATAGGAACATCACAAGTGAATATCAAGTATAGCATGTTGTAATTCATGTTGTAATTCATTTTTTATAAATGTATACTCTCTCTCTAGTGTTTTGGTCACTCTGATCTCTCTCTGGTCCCCCTCTGGTCTCTCTCTCTCTCTCTTTCTCTCTTTCTCTATTTCTCTCTTTCTAGTCTCTCTCTCTCTTTCTCTCTTTCTAGTTTCTCTCTCTCTTTCTCTCTTTCTAGTCTCTCTCTCTCTTTCTCTCTTTCTAGTCTCTCTCTCTTTTTCTCTCTTTCTAGTCTCTCTCTCTCTTTGGTCTCTTTCTAGTCTCTCTCTCTCTTTGGTCTCTTTCTAGTCTCTCTCATGTCTCTCTCCCTGGTCTTTACCTGATCTCTCTCTGGTCCCTCTTCCTGGCCCCTCTCCCTCTGGTCTCTCTACCTGGTCTCTCTGGTCTCGCTCTCTTCTCTTTCTTGGGTCTCTCTGGTCTGTCTGAAGTTTGAGTAATTTTTAAGCCTGCATTCAAAACACTACTGTGAGACAAATCCCTTAGAGTGTGACCCTGGTTTGTGAATTGTGCTTTATCGATTAATATTTGTTGCATGGACTTGGATTTAGAAAAACTTTAGCCCACAAGGGAAAAAGTGGGATAGCAATCATTTACACAAAAAATGTAATATTCTAACACTCACCCACATTTGTGATTGTGTTCAAAGCCTTAGTGAATATAGAAAAACAAATGTAAATCTTTTCTTACAGACATGAGGTCCTTTCAACAGCATCTGAGGAGACGAGTGAACAGAGAAGGAGATAGGAAAGGAAACAAGGAGACAGGACTTAGGAGAGTCCTCAGACCGGAGATAAACTGTCTGCAGGTTCAGTACACTACAACACATTATGTGAAACATTTTGAGAAGAGAATATGGGCCACAGCCAATAACAGCAAAAAATTTAGATTGTCTATGGCCTCATTTCCATTGCGCAAACTACTGGGCCTTCAACCCACCTCGTCTTTTTGGTCTCTCTCTGGTCTTTCTCTCTGGTCTCTCTCGCTCTCTGGTCTCTCTCTCTCTCTGGTCTCTCTCTGGTCTCTCTCTCTCTGGTAACTTTCTCTCACTCTGGTCTCTCTGGGCCATAAACTTTGTAAGCTTTATTTCAAAGTCTGCAATTCTTTTTTGCCCCTTTTATTTTGACACCTTCCTTGTGAAGAAAAGCAAGGTCCAAACCACACGCCAACCTTTCCCAATGTTTTTCCCGGGTCTTTAAGGTAGTATGCATGATTTAAGGTAGTATTTGTGCTTCAGTTTCACAGTTTGTCACAGCGGCAGAATCTTCTTCAGGACCACAGCCGAACAGCCACATACCACAGGGCTATTCTGCTCAATGAGGCGGATTTCCAAGACAAGGTCAGTATAACAAGAGCTATTATATGATTATAACTAATTAAAACAAACAATTGGTGATCAGTATTTTTCTTGACAATAGATTACATTGCTTACTGTTTAAACTAGGGGAATGGCTAGTTCGTAAATGAGAGTACACGTCTAGCACATTTTCTCATATTGTTAATGGTTTTCTCTGGACTGTATTCTTCCCCATAGGTGGTGTTGGATGTTGGTGGATCTGGTATTTTGTCTTTCTTTGCCGTCCAGGCCGGAGCAGCAAGAGTCTACAGTCTCCAATCTGGGCTTTTGTTGAAAAACACACAGGTTTGATTCATAAAACTCACTGACATTTTGAATAGACTTTACAAAAATATGAAATCTTTTAAGGGAGACAAATAAAGATAAACATGGGTCTCTCCCTCTCTCTGGTATCTCTATTTCTGTTGTCTCTCTCAGGTCTCTATCTCTGGACCCTTGTTTCTTGATCTGTTCTCTTTTGTTTTCTCTCTCTGGTTTGTTACGTGAGCCAAAAACAGGAAGCATGGAGCATTTAATTCATAAATGAAATTCCTTATGCTGCAAACATTATATACAGTATGATACAGTATGTAGCTGTCACATATTTGTGACATATGTTGTTTGTCCAAACAACAAGAGAACAAAGAAAGAGCCCTGTGAGTTACTATCTGACTTTTGGGGCTCAAAGCTGATTGGTTGAGTGAGGGTGGTCCTCTGTTTTTGTGGTCTGAAAAAGCTGAGCCAAAGATGTGACGGAGGACGAAAATACATTCATGTTAAATTTACACCTCTCCTTTGTCTTATGCTCTGTGTGTGTTGGCCTCTTTCAGCTGAACTCTCAGCAGCAGCATTCTACAGAGTTAATGGTTCACAGCCACATCTGGACCACAATGCACTGGGGCGCAAGCACAGGGTTAGGGGGAGGCAGATGTTGGGCTAAGAATAATCTTAAAGCTGGGGTATGCAACTTTCAAATCACAAAAATTGTCTGGTTCTATCCCTAGCGGTCACATGCATGTAATTTTAGCCTCCGTCACATCTTTAGATCAATATTTTCAGACAGAAAAGTGATAAAGAGAGGACAACACTCATTCAGCCAATCAGCTCTCAGCCCAAAGTGTCGAATAGTGACTCCCTTTCTCACACAAAAGGTAATACAATGCTCACAACGTTTCACTGTTTCTGTATTATTTACAAACATTTAAAGTTAGGTACTCGGGACTAGTTGGTTGAGTGAGGGTGGTCCTCTCTTTTTCACTTTTCTGTCTGTGACGGTTGCCAAAGATACAAAACTAGTGATTGAAGAAAACAGTTTTAAAGCAAGGAAATAGTGACATGGATTTTATGCTAAGGTGGTTTGAAAATCAGGTACCCTAGCTTTAATGATAAGGCGTTGCCGTTCCCTCAGTCCCTGGTCGAGGCGAATGGTCTGTGTGGGAGAATTGTGGTGCTGGACGGAGACTTGTGTCCAGAGAAAGTGGACGTGCTTCTGTTTGAGCCCACGGGACATTTGCTGCTGTCCGAGCCGCTCTCACAGACCCAGCTGCTGAAGGGGAGGAGCTGCCTCAAACCTGCAGGTGAGACTGTTAAAGCTGGGGGTCCTGAATCCTGCAGGTGAGACTGGTAAAGCTGGGGGTCCTGAATCCTGCAGGTAAGACTGGTCAAGCTGTGGCACCTGAAACTAAAATAGGAAATCAATATTGAACTCTATCAAACTTTTTCCTACTTACTATCTACAAAAACGTATATAGAAAAATACAATACACACATATATACATATACACATACATAGTAATTATCACCAGAAATGTGGTAATAATTACTTTTGCTAACATTTTTATTCATTAAGTACAATTTTTTTCAGACAGAAAGGTTATTTTAGTACGTTTTCATACTAAATCATTGACTGTATATAGATGAACAATGCTAAGCCGCTAGCTGAAAGAAGCCCAATCGAGAAGTGCTCATGGAGATGTTTATGATACTGCTACTGCTACAACAACTACTCCTACTGCTGCTACTACTACTACTACTACCACTGCAGCACAACCATTACTACTGGTACTACTACTACAACTACCTTTACTACTGTCACTACTACTACATTGTGTTTCAGGTCTGATGTTTCCGTCTTGGGCCGATCTTCACTTTGCTCCATTTAGCGATGAACAACTTTACTTTGAAAACTACGCTCGAGCTGCTTTCTGGTATTGTGTACACAGTATTGTGTACATGTAGTGTGAGCATGTAGTGTGAGCATGTAGTGTGTGTATGTGTAGTTTCTCTTTGGTCTCTCTATGATCTCTCTTTAGTCTCTCTCTCTGGTCTCACTGTTGTCTCTCTGTTGTCTCTTTCTCTGGTCTCTCTCTTTCTCTCGGTCTCTCTCTAGTCTCTCTCGCTGATCTCTCTAGTCTCTCTCTGATCCTTCTCCAGTCTCTCCCTGTTCTCTTTCTGGTCTCTCTCTCTGATCACTCTTTAGTCTCTCACTGGTCTCTTTCTGATGTCTGGTCTCTTTCTGGTCTCTCTCTCTGGTCCCTCTCTTTTCTCTCTTGTGTCACTATGGTTTCTGTCTAGTCTCTCTCAGGTCTCTCTCTGATCTCTCCCTTGTCTCTCTCAGGTCTCTATCTCTTGTCTCTCTCTAGTCTCTCTCTGGTCTCTCTCTCTGATCTCTCTCCAGTCTCTCTAATGTCTCTTTCTGGTCTCTCTCTCTGATCTCTCTAGTCTATCTTTCTGATCCCTCCCCAGTCTCTCTCTCTCTGATCTCTCTACTCTATCTTTCTGATCTCTCCCCAGTCTCTCTCTCTCTCTGGTCTCTATCTGGTCCTGGATGCACTACACTGTGACCCTGTGGTCTTCTCTGTAATGAAAGGGCCACAATCCAACATTTCCTACTGTTGTCCTTGGGTCTTTAAGGCAGTATGCAGGATTTAAGGTGGTATTACTGCTTCAGTTCCACAGTTAAGCTTAGGCTTCTTTCTGGTAACAGTAGTGAGTATAATAATAATAATAATAATGCATCGGTTTTATATAGCACTTTTCTGGACACTCAAAGACACTTAACATGTCATTATTATTTCACTCCAAACACGGTGGTGATAAACTACTACTGTGGCCACAGCTGCCCTGGGGCACACTGACAGAAGCGAGGCAACCAGTATGTGCCACCTGCCCCTCCGACCACCACCAACCATTCACACACACACCAGACTCATTCTAGGCAATGGGGGTGAAGTGTCTTGCCTAAGGACACAACGGCAGTTTGGCACTTTACAGCCGCAGCCGCCCCACTGTGGCTGGTGCTCCCAGAGGTTAAGTGTCTTGCCAAGGACACAACGGCAGCCGGACATCAGTGGGAGTCGATGGTGAAGGTTGGGATCGAACCCACGACCCTCTGGCCCAAAGGCCATTGCTCTACCAACTGAGTTACTGTCACACATAGTATATAGTATGTGTGCATGTAATGTGTATTTTTACATCTTTTTCCTATCATGTTTTTGCATTGCTGGTCATGCAGAAGGAGATTACTTCATTACTACATCATCACTTTTACACTCAAAGCATAAAATGAAAATAAACGCTTAAACCTGTTGGGGCGTCCCAAGTCCACGGTTGAAGGCCCAAAAACATTAACTCCCTGTCCCGGCTCCGGTCTGGTCTCTGGTCTGCTCAGGTCTCTGGTCCGTATCTCCTGCAGTAAAATGCTCCGGTTGTGTCCAGAAATGTTATGGGCCATTTCAACATAGGATTTTTCATGTTTCTATCAGAAATATTTCTACATACAGCATCTCTACATATACCATCTAACCAAGCTAGTATTCTGAATGTGGTTTAAAACAGTTGCACAAGGAGAGTGGTTTGATGAACAAATGGACCAGTGTGAAGAGGGCAAGCTCTGTCAGAATTGAGGAATGAACCAAAACCATTAGAAACAGCTGCAAAATTACACACAATTACCTTTAAACAATGTCTCCATTCTAATGCAACAGCAAAGGGATTAGACAAAAATGATCCAGAAAATATGAAGTGCTTAATATTAAAGCCGGGGTACCTCACATTATTTTGATTAAACATCCCAATGAAAAAAATGCACTTTGAACATACACAAAAATATACATTTACACACATTTCTTCTTATACACAAGCATGCGGCCATCACAGTCTATGACATAACCTCTTTGTCCCAACAACAACAAAAGAGGGCTGCGAGTCACTATTTGACACTTTGGGCTCAGAGCTGATTGGTTGATTGAGGGTGTACTCTATATTTGTTATCTGAAAAAGTTGTTCTAAAGATGTGAGAGAGGCCAAAAATACATGCACGTTAAATGTAGATATTGTTTTGGTGGTTTGAAAGTTGCGTACCACAGCTTTGAAGACAAAATGTATACACAATGATCTTGAGAATATTCACTTGGCTGTTTCGTGTTTTAGAATGTAAAATGTAAGGGTGAATGCAACATAATGCACGATCCAACGTGGTCAAACACCCCCATCCTCTGGTTCAAGTGGGGAATTACAATCTGCTATTTTGTTAAAATCAGGGATGAATCAATACATGACTAAATAATTGTTTTAGCTCAATGTTACTCAAAACAAAAAATAATTAAATTCGATGATGTCCTTTTTTCCTACAAAGAGTTTTCAGACTATAATTTTAAAACTATAATTAGAAATACTGTTTCCTCAAAACTCCTCATTTTAAGCCCACAGCTAACAACATTAAAAACACAATTATAAATGTATACTAAAATGGCCGACAGTGGACTAGACCTTCGTGATGGACTCGAACCCATGACCTTTGTGGAGAAGGTCTTGTGATGTGCTTGAACCCACGATTCCCATGTCTAGTGTCATTGCGTCCTTGGGCAATACACCGAACCCCACTTCGCCTGAAGCCCCACTGAAAAACTGATGCTGTAACATCACCGATAGAGCCGCCATCCTCCTGTGAGCTCACCACCTGCAGGAGGATCAGAGAAGTGTTCTGTACTGGGTGGTGGCCAGTAACTGCCAGTAATGGATTAAGGGGAAGAGGATGGATGGTCTAAAATGGCCCTGACCATGATTTAGACTTGGTTTAGTATGCCTAAACTTGGACTTCCTCATGGACTTAACTAATTGTATGGTCTTGTTTTTAGGCAGCAGAGAAACTTCTATGGAATAAGCCTGAACTCTTTGCACAACCCTGCAGTGGAGGAGTTCTTCAGACAGCCCATAGTGGTAATGAGTGTTGTTTAAATCCAGTCTTTTGTACTGTTTTACTAATTCTGTGATTAAACGCTGCAGGAGACATTTGACGCCCAGATCCTGATGTCACATTCCGTCAAACATCTGATCAACTTTGAGAAGGCCACAGCGGAGGATCTACAAAGGTAAAAACAGAAGTACTTGTAAAACTCTCAAGGGAAATCTTGGCTTCTTAAATCCTCTGTCCAAGTAATACTAACTATGCTTCACATAATCAATCAATCAATCAATCAAATTTTATTTATAAAGCGCTTTTCATACAAAAAGTGTAACACAAAGTGCTTTACAGTTTAGTTAAAAACAATCCAACATGCCCAGCCCTAAACCCTCCTCCCCACAGACCCCCCCAAAACCACATTTATAATTATATATACAACCACATGCGTATACACACACACACATATACACACACACCAGGGACGTGCGGTGAGGTTTGTGATTGGGGAGGCACTGACTTTAAAAGTCAGATTTACAATCATTATTCAAATAAAATAGCATTTAATCACCAATGCAATGACATCCACAAACTTTATATACTGTAAAGATAAGAGAACCAGCTTCTTTTAATAATCTCACAACAAATCTAGCTGCTGACTCTGCTCCGCATCAAACAACATCTTTAAGAAGCGCAGGTGCGAGAGACGCGAGGAGAGAGAGACGCGAGGAGAGAGGAGCAGAGAGAGACAGAGAGGAGCAGAGAGACGGAGACGCGAGGAGCAGAGAGAGACAGAGAGGAGCAGAGAGAGACGGAGACGCGAGGAGCAGAGAGAGACGGAGACGCGAGGAGAGAGAGACGCGAGGAGAGAGGAGCAGAGAGAGACAGAGAGGAGCAGAGAGACGGAGACGCGAGGAGCAGAGAGAGACGGAGACGCGAGGAGAGAGAGACGCGAGGAGAGAGAGACGCGAGGAACATAAACAATAATTTAAACAAGTTGCAGAACTCTTGAGCAGTGTTTGAATCAGTGTTTTTCGGAAAAGCACTACTTTGCCGGTATCTGTCAATGTTCAACATAAAACACAGATTAACAAACTCCTCCCCCGCAGCCGGACTAACCTCGTAAGTCCAGTGGTGGTCTCCCAGTCTATATTAATTCTTTCTTTGTTTGAAAGTCCAATTGAGAAAAAAAATCTTCATTCAAATCATCCATTTTCCAGCAAAAGAAATAGCATTTTGGGCTGATTGTTTGTTAGCAACTCTGGTATGAACTTTATGCTCACTATCACCCCTAGCGGTGAGGCACAGATACCGCCTGCCTCACGCCAAGCTTTTTCCTTGTGTGTTCATCTACGATCAAAAGACTTAAACTAAATATAAATTGTACACACATACGTGCAATACACTACTAAACACTAAGAGGAGTTTAAAAAATGTTTTTAAAGCAGGATATTTGAAACAAACGGTGATATATCAACTGCACGAGCTGAGTGCACTCAGACACACACACACACACTGTGAGGGAGCGGTCTGGGGTGAGGCACGCAGGAGCGCTGCCTCACCTCGTCTCTTTGAATAGGAATAACGGGATTTCGGCGATTTTGACTTCAGAAATGATCAAAACTGATGGGAACCGTGCCGAATATACATTAAAAGCATAGGACAGTGGATATAAATTATATATTTAAACTAAAATAATTATTAGTTTCCAATAATGGCAGGTGAGGCTCTGCCTCCCCTGCCTCCCCTGACTGCACGTCCCTGACACACACACACACACACACAGAGACACACACAGAGACACACACATACACACACATACAAGTATAAAGTCATATCAGGTAAAATAGGTAAAACAATACAAAGAAATGGGGCTGGGAGCAGATGTAACTGGCTGAAGAAGCGCCATCCAAGGAGCCATCTGCACCAGGAGCAGAGAGCCGGCTGCAGCCACAGGGAACGACACAGGACCCAGAGGAGAGACGGGCCCCAGACCCCACCAGGCCCAGGACTCAGACCCCATAGGACCCAGAGGAGAGAGGAGGCCCCAGACCCCCATCGGATCCAAGAGCCAGACCCCCGAAGCCACAGCAGACCCCAGCTCTCAGTGCAGAGGGCTCCTCCAGAGGAAACACTGGGGACACTAAAACAATACAATAATACAATAGAAAGTAGAACAATAAAATGTGACAATAAAAAAAAAAATCGCAGCTGCCTAATATTGATAATAACAATAGTAAATGGGTAGATACAATAAATAATAAAACATAGTAAATAATAAAAATAAATAAAAATAGAATGTGTCTAAAAACATAAATAGATGTACTAAAAAGCAATAAATAATAAATACTAATCAATAGCTACTCTAAAAAGGTGCGTCTTGAGCCTACTCTTAAAAATATGAACGTTCTCTGCGGCCCTGAGCTCCTCCGGCAGACTGTTTCAGGAACGGGGGCCGTAGTTCTGGAAAGATGCCTCGCCGTGAGTGTGTGTCCTGACTTTGGGGATGGTTAGGAGTCCATTAGACCATTAAGACATTTACACAAGACCATTAAGACATTTACCATTAAAAGAACCTTAAAATCGATCCTGAAACACACGGGGAGCCAATGCAGCGATTTTAAAACCGGTGTAATGTGGTCCCGCCCCCTGGTCTTAGTCAGGACACGTGCGGCCGAGTTTTGAAGTAATTGTAAACCTGAAATGTTCTTTTTGGGAAGACCAGAGAGCAGGGTATTACAGTAGTCAATGCGACTGGTGATAAAAGCATGCATCAGCGTCTCCGTGTTGGCCCGAGAGAGAATGGGGCGGACTCTGGCGATGTTCTTTAAATAATAAAAACCTATTTTTGTGATGTTCTTGATGTGAGGAATAAAAGTCAGCTCAGAGTCAAAGATTACGCCCAGGTTTTTCACTTGTGATGATGGATTAAAAGAGTGTGATTGGAGTTTCGGTAAAAGTTTCTCTCTCTGGGCCTTAGGACCGATGACTAAAACCTCAGTTTTGTCCTGGTTGAGCTGGAGAAAGTTTTCTGCCATCCAGGATTTCAGGTCTAAAATGCAGTTAAAAAGAGCATCTATTGGCCTGGTGTCATCAGGAGACATGGAGATGTATCATCTGCATAACTGTGGAAGGTCAATTCCATGTCTCCTGATGACACCGCCAAGAGGGAGCATGTACAGGTTAAAAAGGACTGGTGAAAAGCTCCCGGCCTGAAATGTTTTGTACCCACTCCGGCCCTGCCCTGAGGCACCCCGGTGCGACACGTCTTCGGAGTGGAGAGAATTCCATTCAGCCTGACTTGCTATGACTTCCTGTCAGGAAGGAAAAGAAACCACTTGATCAGAATGGTGTCGACATTGATGTCCATCAGCTTTTTGACCCGTATGTCCGGATATTTGCATACAGGACCCGTGCCATGAGCACTGGTGTCTCAAAATGTTTGAGGATCAGTGAGCACATGTAGGCAGCCGCATCAGCCGAGCTCCGTCCCTGGCGATAGCGAACTGCAGTGGTCAAAAGAGGGAGTCAATATCCGACTTTAATTTGTTTATGATGATTTTTTTTCCAACATTTCATTGTGATGGCAGGTTTAGCGCCACCGGCCTATAATCTTTGGTTAGATGCTGGGCACTGACTTTTTGGTATTTGGACAATGATGGATTTTTTTCCACAAATCTGGGACTTGAGTACATTTGAAATGGGAGCCCAAGCGTGGGTTAGCTTCTGAGGAACAGTTTCCTGAGCACACAGGCAGGTAACCCGTCTGGGCCTATGGAACTTTTTTAATTTGCCACTTACGAAAGTGTCTTGTACCAGGCACCAGTCGCCTTCAAAAGCACCAATACAGTGCGCCACCAAGTTGGAGCTGTGCCGGCATATCGTCCGTGGTGAAATCTCAAGAAAAAGATCATTGAGGGTTTGGCTGGCTTAGTTAAGGCTCATTTGGTGTTGACCAGTTGTTGTTTTGTTTTTACTGCTTCCTTTGCTGAGGACATGTATGGACCTTTTTCAAAGTGTCCCCAGAATTGTTTGACTGTTTCTGTTTTTAAAAATCGTTCGATTGTATGCGTGTTTTTCTCTGGATTAGACAATGCTCTGTTAAGTCCCTTTGGGCAGTTTGGTTTTGGGATAGCCAATTTCCTTGTTTGTGGTTCTCCAGTGCAGTGGTTCTCTGGGAACCACACCCCGCTCCGCGTGAGCAAAATTTACTCACTCACATACGTTCCTCCTTTCAAATCTGGCCCTCTAAATGGGCGTAGCCTGGAGGACTAAAGGGGGGCGTGAACGAGACGGGGGCCGTTTTTACATTGCTCTGGCGGGGGGCTGCTGACCGTCAGGGTCCAACGTTTCAGACGTCAGGTCCAACGTCTGTGCCAGTGTTGGCGCCAGATTCAAAATTCAAGATGTAGGTATACAGTCGCCAGCAGATGGCGCCTCACAGACGGTTTTAGTGAAAAGTTAGGTTGCCCAGCTTAAAAAACTTTAGTGAGTGAAAAGATTTTAAGAGTTCCTTGCAATGTAACATCATGAACAGAGCCGTTAAAGCTAGGATACCTAACTTTAATCAAAACAGCATATTACATTACAAAAAAAAAGAACAAGATAAAACAGTATCAGTTAGTATCAGTTAGTCCCTGTCAACTAAACTAATAAATATCATAAATAATAGTCTGTTGTGAACAAATCAGACTACAACATATGTCTTTATGTGTGTGAGAAAGAGCCCTATTTGACCGTTTGGGCTGAGAGCCGATTGGCTGATTGGGGGTGGTCCTCTCTTTGTCACTTTTCTGTTTGAAGCTGATCCAAAAATGTGACAGTTGTTGATTCACAAACACAAAGTAGAGAATCAAACAGTTCTAACACAGAAAATGCAATAATAACAAAAAACACATAGAGCCATTGGGGGATGACCATAGTAGCTATTTCATTACATAGCTCCATTTTATACACTTTTAAAGTTAGGTACCCCAGCTTTAATCTTGCCTTTTGAGTGATTTGAACCAGCCTCAGTGCGGTGTAAGTAAAACTAGAACTTCTCCATCTCACTTTGGTGTGGAGCAGACTTTTTTCACATGTGTCATCGTCGTTCCCATGAGTCACTGTAGAAAAGAGAGTTACAGGAAGAACCTCCTCTAAACAGCTGTCTCCAGAGCACAAAGACATATCTATTCTGCTTCATCTACAGTCA